TTGCAAAAAGCAAAATTAGTGGAGAATGCAGAAGCAAAATCACAAGTCACAACCATATGAAGTTTCATTTAGCAACCATAGTGAATTGCTCAATGACCAAATGGCTGGTGACATTGTAATGCCAATACAGTCGTGTTGTTTTCCGCTTTGTGACTGTAGCACTTAGCAATGGAGTGGCTGGTCAAAATTGTGGTCGCTAAGCAAGGATTACACACACATACACACACTCTCTTCATTTAGCGATCTGTCTGTCTGTCTGTCTGTCTATCTATCTGCAAGCTGGATGACACAAATTCTGCTTTTTAAAGATGTACCGTATCTAAATTTCATTTTAAACTGGTATTCAGCATGCCAGTATTCTGTCTTACATTTTGGTAGCTGGAGATCATGTATACATGTCTCTCCTGCAGTCTTTCATGATTTGCCTAATTAAGTCAGTATGTGTTTAGGCAATATATCTCTGACATGGTTTTTCTTCCTTTATACCTGCACATAATCATCCCATTATAAGGCTATCTATTTATAAATTCTGTAAGAGACACGGTGATACATGGTGAGAACTATAGTTTGTAGAGACTAGACAAAGTGAACACGCATATTTATTTGGGGCAACACTTCAATATGTCCATCTTTCAACTTGCTGATGCATTTGCTACACTCGGAGAGAATTTCTGGTCGTTGCCCAAAAATTATTGAACCAAGCAATGTCACTTAATAGAATGACACTGCAAAACCTTGTTTTGCAGGCAAGTAAAAAGTATCTGGCTTCTTTTAAACAAAAATGATCTAAACATTGGCTTAAAAGCTTTTCCAGTGTCAGAATACACTACCTAGCCCACTACAAATGTGTCACTCATAGCTCTTGCTTATATTGAATCTTAGCAACAAGATAGATTTGAAATGCACCATTAAACACATATTCTTTGAACTTATTTTAGCCCTGTGATGTTTTCAGAGAGCACATGAGGACATGGGAATTTCAGTATGAAACTGATAAAAGCCTTTCTGACAAGAGATTTCTGAGTTATCCCAGTGTGCTATTTTATTATTTATTTATATACCACTTTCCTATTAAAGCTTCCAGAAAGAGAATTCCTAGCATTAGCAATTAAACTTTTTTAGGCAATTCCCTCATCTTTCCCTTCTTAATAGAATTCTGTAGAAAGAGAGGAAAAAAGAAGGAAGACATTCTATAAAAATAGCACACTGCCTGGTACAAATGAATGTGTTTGGAAAAGCAGCTTTATTCAATCTGCATTTTCTTTGGCCAAATGTTTTTTTTTTTTTTAACAAAAAATGTTACCTACAACAGAGGCTCCTGATCTTTTGAGCACCAGGGATTGGTTCTGTGGAGAGAGTTTTTCTGCGGACCGGAGGAAGCGTGGGTTTCATGTACTGCCTGCATCCTGCAGATGGGGCTTTGCTTGTTTGTTCAGCATGCCACGGCCTGGTGCCAGTCCACGGACCAGGGGTTGGGGACCCCTTACCTACACTACCAATAATCATGATACTCAAACATTGTAACAGACCTAAGCATGTTCCTTTCTTTCTTATATCTTGCTTTGGTTCAAGACTTGAACAGTCTTGCTTATCTCCCACTCCTGAACAAACTTACAAGACAGAATTGTGAATCCCACTAGTAACCCCTTTCTCCAAATAATTGATATATGCCTTTCATTTCTATTGATTTTTTAAAATATCTCCCTAAATCTAGCATACATTTTGTCCCTACCAAACAAAGCAGGGAAAAAACAGCCTTATCTCAGAAGTAGTATTCAGGAAAAAGCTACTGGTCTTTTGGACTGTGTAAGTCCCACTCAGTAGCCTTGCTTGTCATCTAGAATTTATCAGCCCAACACAGATCTGCCATAATGTGTTGTATAACCAGTGCATAAACAAACTTCAGCATGATAAATGCTTTGCTTTGAAAGCCATAAAGTTATTAGCTGGTGGCTGTTAGCTACCGCTGAGCACAAGGCACATTTCCTCCATTAACCCTTGACGGCCCACCCCTGTGCCTGTACATTCATCATACACGGGGACAGATTTTGGTGGCAAAAAACAAGAGAACCCAAAGCACTGAGATTTGAAACCCCGGGATCTCTGATTATTTAGCAGTGACTCTCCATGCTCTCTCTGGGCTTGAGGGAATTTTATGGATTCAAGATATATTGAAGTGGAATATAATAATACTTATCATTCTAATATCAGTAATATAGTAATACTTAATTCTAAAAGTAGTCAAAGCATATACATTTAGTTAATTTTTTCTTTCTTCTCCTGAAAAAAAGCAATAGTAAGGGGCATGAAAGGGTCTGAGACTGCAAGAAAGGAACATTGCTTAAATCCATCAGTCAGTTAACAGTAAAACTCAGATGCCTGAACAGACGGTAACTCAATTCATAATTCAGTCCTTTATTCACTATGTTACATCTGACTGTACGTACAACAAGAGCCTGCCCACCTATGAATCAAATGAAAAGGCCATCTGATTTCACTGACAGTTCCAACATCTTGCCAGACAAATAAAAATACCTCTTTGTTTTAGTTGTAATGCTATACATGCTCTAATCTCTAATTAATGTTAGTAATATGATATCTCATAAACAGGTCAATAGAACATAATGGGGAAGGATAGAATATCAGGTGTGTAGGGAGTAGTCACTATTTCTTAAAAAATGACAGAATTTAGTAAAAAGAAAAAAAAAGATTTTCATTTCTTATAAGGGGAAAAATGTTTTGCCACTGTTTTCCAATTTAAGAGTGTACCAACCTAAATAAATACTTCTATACTAAGGTGCTACACCAGAAGAATAAAAATAATGGTAAATATGTGCTAATTACAGTATGAGAAAATGTCAAAGAAGGCCAGGAATTTTCACATTCTCAAGATTGCGTGATAAGCAGTAGTCTGGGGCTAGTTGAGCAGACTTGAGCCAGGGAATCATAGCCAAGGAACGCAAAGAAAAAGCTCATCAAAGCCAGGAAAAGTTAGTTCTTCAAAGCAGGCTCTCAACCCAACCAGGAAACTTCCTATCCAGGAGGTCCAAGTAGTCAATCCTGACTGTCAGGGGCAAATATTTAATCATCATAATGATGTTCCAAACTAGTACTTTGAGGCATTTATGCCTGAGCTTTTTCCCCCAAAGTCTTCCACAATGTGGCAAGCTGACTATATAAGCATTTGCAAATAGGTGTATCAGTTAAAACTTGATGCAATTTCAATTCCATAATTTGCTGATTCTGAGCCAATTCAAACAGAGCAAGATAGACATTTTGAAAGATGACAATGCAGCTGCTTCAAGGTGGAATCGGTACTGAATTCTATATACCATAATGGTATATAAAGCAACTTAACTTTATTTCCCAATGACTTAACTAGTGGCTCTTTGACTGTGCTTGCCAGCAGTCATTAACATAGACTCCCAAGTTGGACAGTAAACTATAATTAACTACAGTTTCCTTGGATGTTTTTCCACTCATATGAATATGAAAGAAAGTGAAAAGTTGCTAGCATAGATGCCCCAAACCTAAGATCCTGATTATTAATCACATTCAGTGTCCTGTCTCTACATACAGCTCATTCAAACAGAAACTGTTCCATAGTTTTGGAAAGAAACAATGTTTTTCCAGCATTGTCTTAATATGAGATTGGTATTATAACATCTGTAATAATGGAGAAGATACAAAAGAAAGTATTTATTGTTTTGTGCTGGACTCATTTTTTTTACCTCCCCCAAAACTGGAAAGCTCTTCAGTGTCGAAGAACTTGGAACTACTTTTTTCAACAATACATTTTTTTTCCTATGGGGAGACCAATACAATGTTGTACAGAAACCATCAATAATTCAGTTTGTATCATTCATACTGTTAAAAGCATGCAGTAAGAAAATAATTTCATATATTGCAAGCCATAATAATAAATGGCAGCAGCAACTAAATATTAACCACCAACAACTTTTCAGACTTATCAAGAACTCTCAAGTCTACTTTTTCTCCTTTTTTGCTGCTGAAGCAATAAAAAGGGGAAAACCAACATCCAAATGATCTTGTTTATGGTGGTTAAATAAGCTGCATGTGCTTAATCCGTTAGAGTTTAATGAATTTATGACTTGCTTTGGAATTTGACAAGGGCCATAAAAGAGTAATTAACATTTATCAGCGTGTTTGCTCCGCCTGCACACACCCTCCTCCTCTTGGCCCCTCTCATGGCAGTGTCGGGCACCATAGAGAGATATAAAAGCAATCAATTAATTTTTAATAATCTCAGGGAAAGATTGTAGAATTGCAGTATGAACTCTGGGAGTGTCAATAAACATGCCGAAGGTCATCTACTTTCTTCCTCTATATGCTTGTCAGTAAAGTGGAAGAATGAGACACACATATCAAAAGCTGCTATGGGAACAGGTGATGGAGCAATCCAAAAAACTACTCATCTAACCACTTCACCTGATTGGCTAGTATGTAGTTCATTATTCCAAACTGAACAGGAAGCCTACCCAATCTCTACTATATTTATATATATTACTAGATTTCAATGTTGTCTACTGTATATAATTGCCCAAAATATTGTATGTATTAAAGGCCTTTCCTGACTGGCCTAATTACAATACAATTACAATGATGCTCCCCTAGCATCTTTATTCTGCTATGTCACTATGACACCCTTTTCATCATTTTCCCAGCCATATGTAAAGACATATCCACACATCTTTCTCTAGCATGACAATGCCCTAACAACACTCCCCTGAGCAACTTTTGGCCAGAGGCCATGTTTAGGCCCTTAGCTACTCAAATGATATTTTCCATTATATTATGGCTTGAGTCTCTCCATGCAGACAATGTAGAGTGCATTGATGAGAAAAGGGAAGGCAATTTGCTACAGAAAAGTGCCTAGTGACTCTGTCAGTGGGATCCTAAATCTCCTCCTTCCCTCCAGTCTCTGACCATTGCACCCACCATCCATTCTGGTTTTGTCTGACAATGGGCTCGTTCTCTTTTTAAGTTATTTTTCGAGTGGTTATGAGTACTTTGAAAGGTGATGGTTTGCCTACTTGGCTTATGCCATCAACATCACATCTAAAAGTATAGCACACCAATTGGTGATGGCCTTGTATGAAGTGGCTAACATTAGCCAGACTCCAAATCAAACTGCCAATCACATCTCTTACTGTTGATATATAATGTGAGTCAGCAGTAAAGAGAACAATAACTTTGAGGGCATTGTGGGTGCACTTTGGATGCATGTTGGTTTCTTGCCAGCTCCCTCAGGGGGAGACAGTATGCCAATTTTGTAGATTCAAGACAGCCTTCAGTCATCCTTATTTGCACCAGGATTATAGTACTACTTTGCCTTATTTCAACTACATCCAAGGGCAGCCTCAAGATGTACAAAATGTAGGGCATATTAGCCATTACCAAGGAAGAAGGTCAAGAGACAGAAGTAACTGGAAGCAGAGGCAATACAGACAGGTTTCAGACTGGTAGATGTGACAGCAAATTTTATGCTATCCGAATGGATAATATTTTAAATTGAGTATCAGTGAAAGTATCAGATTGCATTTTTAACTATCAAGACAATGCTGAAAAAATTTCAGGTGGCCAAAAGAAAATTATGCATTTCAAAGCAGGATTTAACTGTGTTTTGGTAATATGCAATATCCAGTTATCTCTTCTCCCAGTCAGCAGACCTGTGTTTGTGAGCCAAAGCATGAAATAGACTAGGATAGCTGTTTCTGTCATACAAGGCCTTTTTAAAAATTCCTTCCAGTTGCCACAAAAGAGGCTGGGAGATTTTCACTCCATCCTCATTCCCTGCTTTTTTTAAAAAAAAAAAAAAAATAACTACTTACATCTGGAAGTTTTAAAATCTGCATTGGCTTTTTTATAAAAAAAAATTCCCTAGTGTGACCAGTAACAACAAAGGTTAATTTGCAGTAGAAGCAAGGAAATATGGAACAGGAAAAAAAAGAAGAGGCTTTTCTATGCCATGCCAGTAATCCCTATAGAAAGTATCCTTTCCCTCCCCCTGAAAATTATAAATAGTTTTTAACAAACCAGGTATTACAGTAAAATTCTAATTCTATACTGCACAATGCTCACAGAGGGATTCATAATGTAGAGATATAGGCTAAAATCTTTGCAGAGCAGGTACATATTCTTACTGGCATTCGCTAATGATTACTGTAAGATCCAGAATAAAACATCTGCCTGACCCAACCCGAAAGTGATTGTTTCATTTTCATTTCTCATCTAGTATTCTAAGGACAATTTTTAAGTGATTTTCACTCACTTCTGCTTATAATGAATTTTTTTCCTAAAACACAGCAGATACAATATTAAACGCCCTTGATAAAACAACGACAGATTTGTTCCCAGCAATTTTCAATCAAATACTATAGTACAGTTCAGTAGTGATACTTTTAATGTATTGTTAGTATCTTTTTATGCCTTGACTATATTTTTATTATTGTCCTAATATCATCTGCACAAATTGATGATGCTTCTACTGCTTTTCCAAAATATTCTACAACAGTAATAAAAAAAATAAATAAACACTTACAGAGGGGGAAAGTTAACGCCATGCGCTGGCTGGCCCCCGCAGACACTGGTGGCCCTCCTTGGCTGTCGCTTCTATCTGGCAATTAATTGACAAGAAATTGAGATTATGAGATATGACAATCACCATCAGAAGGAAGACCATTAATCAACTAACTCCTATAGCTGAGCAAGTAATATTTAGCAGTAGAGATTTTCCAAATATAGTTACTACAGTACCATGGGATTAGATATCCAAAGCTGCAGCTTTAATCTTATAAAGAACATATAAAAAGAACTGCTGTATACAGACTGTTTTTATAGATCCTGATACCTAATATTTTCTCACAAGGAACCACATAAGTATAATGAGATTAAGAAAGAGGAATGTAGAAATAATGTACAAGTTTTATATAAATTGAACTGTAGAATAAGGCTGCACAGTATTTCAGAAACATGCAGAAGCATGAATACAGCACCTGTATACAACTCTAAAACTACTGGCCCCACAATCCCACAGAAGACCTAATTATTTTAAGGAACTGTGGACAGATGTTACTTTCACACCTTTGCACACATCAATGTAACTTTTCTATGTTATTCCCAAAGCACTGTAATATTTTACTGTAGAATCTATTTAAAGAAAGCTAAATGCTGTTAAACCATCTCACCAAATGGGCATCACATTTTCATATGTAGGCAGCTTGAGACTCTATTTATTTATTTGCTTTATATACTTTCTTCTGTCCAGGAACCCAAGGAAAATTATCCACATCCTCCTCCCATTTTCTTCCACAAGATAGGGCAGGTTGGTCTGCAAATGACTGGCTCAAAAGCATTCAGTGAACTTCCGTGGCTGAAAGTGGATCTGAACTTGTGTCTCCAAGTGTAAGTCCAATGCTTTAACCCAGTAGTTCTTAACCTGTGCTGTACAGACCTTGGAGGTGTGTGTGCAATGTCATCGCAGGGGGTCCGCAAAGGCTTGAAGAAATGTTAGGATTTAAATCTTGTGTTAAATCTTGATGGTCCGTGGCCACAGAAGGTATTTAAAGGGGTATGTGTTGAAGAAAAGGTTGAGAACCACTGCTTTAACCCACTATATCAGCATGTCTTTATTCCTTTCCAGAGCAACAGCTATTAATCAGCTAGTCACCCTCTTATAAGATCAGACATGTTTATGAATCAAGTTCATATTTTGTTTCTCAGAATTTTTTAATTACTGAAACATCTCTTGCAAAGTGCCTTAGTTAATGTTGTTTGTTCACATACAACTCATGTTTGCAATTCAGTATAAAAATTGACCTCCCAGCTTGATCACTACAAAGAAAATTTTGGAAACAGTCTACAAAATCAAATAGAACCTTGGGAAGTTCTAACAGACAGGGACAATTAGTCTTTTTTGCCTATTTCCATGCTTTTACCATCCCCTCTCTAACCTTCCTGTCTTTCAGCTTCTGACATGTCATTCAACAGAATTCTCCTGATCAATCAAATTAATACATTAATGTTTTAATTGAAAATTTCACATCCTTCAATGTTACATTAACTATCTATATTTTGTATGATTAATACTAGCATTCTCCATTGTTTCTTCAGTTGCAAAATGGTGCTGTTTCCTTAAATAATATAAAGGAGGAAGAGACAATAATTTGGCACATGTGATAGACCAGCTACATGTCCTTAACTTTAAAAAGTAATCTAAATCTGAATATTCTATTTAAACCACTTCATCCTATCCTAAATAAATAAAAACAAAAAGTACTGATTAATTTACAGCTAACCTCTTAAAAAGTTTATCCAGTGTAGTAACTGGGACCTGGAAGTAAAATCTTTATTTAACTTGCAAAAATTACATTAATTGTCAATAACATTAGTTATAAATGAGAATGGAATATTTTAAATATTCTCTTTCTCTATAATTGTAAAAACAAATCTCAATACATTTGCAGCAATTTTCAAAATACATTATTCCAGCATTGAACTTCTACATGACTGTTAAGGCTGTTTTGTTTAAACATGAATATGAGAGTCATGATTTTTTAACATTGTTTTATGAGATTGGAGGGGGGAGTTGATTCTGGGCTACCATTTTTATGTGAATTTTGTTGTTGTTTTGGCTTGAGAAGAATTTGTTTCTTTAACCAATTGGTTTCTTTGTTTTGGATTGTGGTTAATTTATCTTTTTGGCATTTATTACTATAAACTGCCTAGAGTCTTAGGAAGTGGGCAGTATATAAATATCCATAATTCATTAATTCATTAATTAACATACAAAAAATCTGAGCTGGCCTAATTTACCAGCTTTGCCTTTAGAAATAATGCATTTAGTTGTAAGTGCTATTAGGATACTAATTGAAGAAATGAATGATTTATAGTAGTTCAGACTAAACCAAGCAAAACAAATCAAACCTGAAAGAGATATGATTCAGGTGCTGAGCAGTGGCCAAAACCTGCCTATAGAAGATATAGTTTGCTAGGTTTATACAATTGAAAGAGAGAAAGTCTAGGTTAATGGGGTTCTTATGTTCTTCTATAGATGGGTCTAGTACAATACAGACAAACATACTGATGAAGCTAACATGCCAACATTCCATGATGCTCCCATCAATGGCTGATATTCTTGTTGGGTCACAGAATTCCTATCCATACAGGCCCACTGCTGTTAAGAGCAACTTAGGAATCATTTCCAGATACTATACTATACATGTGCACAGCCTGTTGCATAACAAACCAAGGTCCCATTTCCTGTTCCCCCAGAACCGTTAAAACCTCACAAACCACTAGGAAGAACTGTTTCCTGCAGGTGCCTCAGGATCATGAATCACACCTTGTCAAAATGCTGGGTATGAACCAGTGGAACAAGATCCTTCAAAAAGCAAATGCATCTTGCAGTCTTGTCCATGCATAACTTTCTAACTTGCTGATCTACATCCTGATCAGGAAGGGGTTAAATGAGTATTAATCAGACACTTTCAAGAAGCTTTGAAAACTCATCCAAATATTATAAAAAATGCCTTTAATCATCTAATAGCCCAAACGGGGAAGTGATGGATGGGCTGATCTTTGCCTGAACAGATGAGCCTGGGGATGTGGGCTTACAGGAGATGGGGAAAGAGACGATGACACTTTTCCTTCCTCCCTCCCTCCCTGCTTGGAGCAGTTAGAAATATGAGGTCACCCAGCAAGAGATGATAACACATTAAGGGCTCTTGAGAGATTGGCCTGTCAGCCTTGTTAGGAAGAGGCAATTGGGGCTGACTGTATAATTAAAGGCTGGAGAAAACCATAACTCACAGCAGTTTAGACAGCAATGAAGGAACTCTATCCACCACGGTTTTTTCTGTTTGGAAAAACCACCTCAGTAGAAGTGAGCTTTGCTCAGTGTAGTTTGGGCTTCAGTGAGATGCTTTCAATGAATTGCAAATTTGCAATTTCAATTGCAGTCCTTCTGCACCAAGCTTTACAAATATGAATTTGTCACACAAAGCTACTACATTACTGTGTAAAGAAAAACAAGCCAAAGACAGGATTGAAGATTATTCAGATAGCATGACTTATAATAGGAAAATGTCTCATGTCTCAAGATTAGAAGTAATCTAAAATCACCAATTATTTTGTGATATGCCTAAACCTTGTCCTAACATAATCCAACTGGTATATCTGAATTATTTCCAAAGGCAGTTGTTTCATTCAGACCACGTAGCCCTGAAAAAGATGTTTGTAAGTCCCATCTGCTTAATTCTGAATTAAAAGCATCCAACAGATTAATGCTGTTGGTAATCATATTGTAAACTTCCTTTCCTTAACATAGAGAATTCACTGTACAGGCATAAGGTACGGTGTTGCTAGTTTGATACACTGTTGCTATATTACTATAAATTAATATATGAATAGTTTTCTTAATGGAAGGAAACAGAAGAAGAGGACAACCAGCAGGGAAGTGGATAGACTTAGTTACAGTGGCAATTAATGCACCATTGGAAGATCTAAAGGATCAAGTTAGGAACAGATCATGATGGAGAAAATCTATGTGATCACTAAGAGTCAACAATGATGTGATAGAACACAATCAATCAATTAGTTCACTTAAAAGAACACCAAACTTTCTTGGGATATTAAGGATTTATTAAACTAAATCTCTGAATATAATAATATGAATAGTAAACAGTCTACTTATGTCACTTGTTTTTTAATGATGACATTCAAATGATGGCAATATTTCATGTATGTTTATCTCTGGATTGCAGTTGGAGACGAGATATTATATACTACTTCATACCCCCACTTCCAGTTCTTTTGCAGTGAAATCAACATTTCAGTGAATTTGATTATGAAACTCCCTTTGGCTCTGTATTGTTTCATAAGCCATGATGATGATGATGAATCATTAAATTAGTGTTGACTCTTAGTGACCACACAGATAGACTTGATCAAGGATGATCTATCCTCAACTTGGTCCTTCAGATCTTTCAGTAGTGTATCTATTGCCTTTGCTGCTTGTCATCTTTTTTCCTTTCTTTCCCCTTTTTTCAGCATTCGAGACTTCTCAGGAGAGTTGGGTTTTTGCCTAATGATTCTTCCATAAAGAATCACAGCATTGTCTGCATGATTCTGATTTTGTAGGTAGAGACCACATATTTTTTTCCAAGACCTTCACCACTAGTTTACCAAGCATTAGTATAGTTTACCAAGTGTTAGTATACTAAGTACTTCTTGACAGCTGTTTTCTTTATTGTTGATAAATAAAGGCAGAGGCTATACACATTTTCAGTGTCTTCATTGCCAATTCTAAGTATGGTTGCTATACTTGTGGTCATGAGTTTGGTCTTCTTTATATTTAAACTTATTCCTTTTTTCACTGTGCTTTTTAATTTCCATTACTAGAGCTTGCAGATCGTTTGTATTTTCAGCTATCAGAATAGAGTCACTTGTATAGTACTGTTTCTTTCACTAACTTAAACTGTGCCTCCAATCTAGCTTTTCTTGATACATATTCAACATATAAACTGAATAAATAACTGGAGCGTATGCAACTTGTGTCACACCTCACCTACCTGGACCCAGTCTGTTTCACTACATCCTATCTGGACTATGGCTTCC